AGTACACCTTTGTAAACCGATTGTTGAATGATTGTCTAGTGGCCATGAGTGCATTTTCTCACAGAATCGATACCAAATTTGCAATTTTTTTTTTTACCTTTGCGATTTTTTTTTGCACCTCAAATCTCAGCTGCCCCCCTGCCCCCCCCTCCCCCCCCGGAGGGTACGTGGCCCTTGCGACTCGCAAGGCAGACTTTCCTCTACCTCTACGACCTCCACGGCCTCCGCAACACCCCAAAATCGCAGGGGACGTACGATCCTGAAATTCGTGCGTCCGGGAGAGGCATGTGTGGTTTTCCTTCAAAAATTATCATAACATTGATTCTTTCCTTTGAATAAAATGTATGTTTTATTTTGCTTTTTAGACAAAAAAGATGACAGGTATGAAAACGCTGAATGCATTTCAAAGGTATTAGGTTTATATAAAATACAAAAATGAAAGTTGGGTTTCATTCTCATACGACACCCCGGCGTTCAAACTGACAACATGGTGACGACAGCAACAATCGACAATCTACGATTGAAGTCTAAGAGCGGGCAATTGTGAATTTCTTCTAGGAACCACCTTCAAATCTCATGTGATCCTACGCAATTCCATCGAACTTGAGGATAGTTTCCTTACCAGCATAAAACAACGAATGTTTCGTCTTTCTCCCATCGTGTGCTTCTGTGAATTTGACGCTTCAATACATGCGGACTCGTCGCTCTGGGAAATGCAAATAACACATCGCTCTTCGCCCGGACATCGAGTAAGGGCCGCAGCAGAGATGTACTGGTGCCGCACTCTTTTCATTTCTATCATATTCCTCTTACGCCCATGATTAGCGCTTCCTTTCAGACCTTGACCTTCACTGCTCGAATGAACAATTTAAGGTTAGTAAACATTTGGGGGGTTGGGTAGGAGAAATGAATCAAATGTAATCTTTTTTATTTCTGTTTACAGGACATAGAAGATACAAGACATAGAAGATGATGACTTCCTTTCGGACCTTGACCTTCACTGCTCAAATGAACAATTAAAGGTTAGTAAACTTTTTTTTGGAGTTGGGTAGGAGAAATGAAACAAATCTTATCTTGTTTTCATTTCTGTTTACAGGACATAGAAGATGATGATATAGGCCTACACAAAGCTCTTTGTCACATTAATGAGCCAGCCGTCTCCTCCGACACAGTGCTTCCTTTCGGACCTTGACTTTCACTGCTCGAATGAACAATTTAAGGATAGTTAACTTTTTTGGGGGTTGGGTAGGAGAAACGAAAGAAATCTAATCTTGTTTTTATTTCTGTTTACAGGACATAGAAGATACAAGACACAGAAGATGATGGCTTCCTTTTGGACCTTGACCTTGACTGCTCGAATGAACAATTAAAGGTTAGTAAACTTTTTTTTGGAGTTGGGTAGGAGAAATGAAACAAATCTAATCTTGTTTTCATTTCTGTTTACAGGACATAGAAGATAATGATATACACAAAGCCCTTTGCCACATTAATGAGCCAGCCTTCTCCTCTGACTTAGTGGCTTCCTTTTGGACCTTGACTTTCACTGCTCGAATAAAGAACTAAGGGTTAGTAAACTTTTGTGGAGTTGGGTAAGAGAAATGAAACATATCTAATCTTGTTTTCATTTCTGTTTACAGGACATAGAAGATGATGATGACATACACAAGCCCTTCGCCACATTAATGAGCCAGCCGTCTCCTCCGACACAGTGCTTCCTTTCGGACCTTGACTTTCACTGCTTGAATGAACAATTCAAGGTTAGTTAACTTTTTGGGGGTTGGGTAGGAGAAATGTAAGAAATCTAATCATGTTTTTATTTCTGTTTACAGGACATAGAAGATACAAGACATAGAAGATGATGACTNTAAATTAAATGCCATAAAAGAAGACTATATTTCTTACATCTTACTTCTAATATTTCTTGGTAAGTAAATTTCCAAGCTACATGTGTAGCTTTATGTATTTTAAGTAAAAATTTTCAGACTTGCTTTGAATAATCATAGCAGCATTTTGAAGATAGGACGTATATTTAGTCTGGTTTGGCTGGTGAAAGTTTAAGAATCACTAACCCCTGATTCCCAACATTGCTCAGTACCTTAACTTTGAATTCCTGTCCACTTTGAGAAGAATCGAAGACAGCTCCAGTTCCTCCAGCAGCGTTGGTTTGGGCAAGAAGAAACAACAGAGACATCTGAGAGCAGTCAGCACCACCCAGTATAAGAAATAAACAATCTGCAGCTTCTTTAGCACCTGATAAAAGAAAAAAAATCCATGGTAACTTCAGAATAATTAACAAAATATCCAAGAATAATTATAACATTCATTAATGTCGATTCTTCTATTTCCATAATCCCCATTTGCTACTGCAAAAAAATAAACCCTATTTTTAGTTGTATGGACATAACAAAGGAATTGAAAATGCCAAAAAAAAATAATAAGTACTTTTAGCACCTTAAAAAATTATTTCACAAGGTAGATAATCAATGTTCTGTGGCACTGAGACTGAACTAGGAGTACAAGTATTTATGTATAGATGGGTAGTGTGGTGAAACAGAATAATGGAAGGGTTTCCAGAATAAAATGTTTTTGCCAGCTGTCTTTTATCATAAAAGATATCACTAATTTGACCTCAGTCTTAGAACAGACTACCTGGAATATTAAAATTTAGTTATCACCAACATCTGCAGTTTTGTATATATATATATATATATATATATATATATATATATATATATATATATATATATATATATATATATATATATACTACATGTACATAAGTGAAGCAAAAGTGCAAAAAATAGCCAATATATCATACCTGCTGTCCAACATTGCTGCTGCATAAATTCTTCCACAGTTATACTGTCCCATTTTTCTGCATATTGACACTGATATGGGTCTTCAATTGGAACTTGAGAGCTCATACTATCTATCTAAAATACCCGTATACAAAAGTTTATAAGTAGGCGTACTAGTAAATATACTGTAACACAAATGTGACTTCACACATGTACATTTAGGCTCAACCACATTTTGAGACAAAAGAATTACAAACTAGTAAAATGTTCTGACACAATTTGAAACATTAAAAGTTGTCTAGTGTTTAGGAAAAATATGATAAAATAATGTTTGTGTGTTTGTTCCTGCGTGTGTGTGTGTGTGTGTGTGTGTGTGTAGATCTGTGTCTGCTGTGTAAAACTCAAATATAAAGAACTCCTTGTGTTACCTTTCTCATCAAAAAGTAAAGATCTATTAATACCCAAAAGGGTAGAGCTGGAATGCTTGTGAATGTCCTAATTTTGTTGTCTCCCAACTTCATGTACTTCTTTCCTTTGTCGTACTGACTATACACCTCAAGACCCAGCTCTTGTATCAGTGCCATTATGTGTGTCTGAGAGCTAGAAAAAATGTACTTATACAAGATCACACTATTAAATGGTTCGCGTAGTAGCAGTAATGCTCTATAGTGTCATTTTAGACAAAAAACTGACGCCTTGTTACAACACTCACTCAAAAAGCAAAAGTCATGTTGCTTTTAATCAAAACACAATAATATGTTTGGTCAATTTTATTAAATTATTTTTAAATGTTATACTGACCAAATGTTGATCATGTTTTTGCATATTATCATTGCCTATTGCAATGTACGAATAAAAATTTCTTAGATTCATTGACCAATCAGTATATCAGCCATATCTGAATGAATTATGCCAGTTCAAATATAATATAATATAATATAATATAATATAATATAATATAATATAATATAATATAATTTAATATTATTTAATATAATATAAATTATTTTACCACATACCTTCCTACCCACTGTCCACCAAGATCCCATACATCTTCTCCTCCTGCTGCTTTTAATGTTGTTGTTAAAGTGCGACCACCAACTCTATCTAACATATAGATATATAGCCAAAAAATTAATATCAAATTTAAAATGGATTTGTAAGACAATTAATCCAATTTTAAAGCACATCTTCCTTGTACATGAAATCTTCTCTTAAATTCTAAAAAATATTGATATCAGACAACTTTTAATTAATTTTAAATATTCTTATAAAAAATACTGTTATTTGTCATGCTTAATAAGTATTTTTTCTAATACTGCTAGAAGTGCACGTGTACTGACACTGACACAATATCCGAGGATTATCCAACATATATTTCAAGTTTCTTATTTTGAATGCTTTGTTGACTGGTTTCTATTATACTCTGTTGAGAATTGAAGGATGGATAAATACTAGTATGTCAATTCTGACCAGAAAAATTAAGAAGGTGCAGTTTTTACTAGCTATATATTTTGGCTGAACAAGGAAATGATTGGGTAACTTCAAATGAATCCTGATACTTAATATACATTTTTCTTTTTTCCAATGTAAAGCCAAGAATTAAGTACATTGCACAGAGGAATTAATTACACCTGAGTGGTTATACGTACGTTATCTATATCTTGGCTCCCTTTGCCTAAATATGGCAATAAGACTGGAAAGATTCAAGGTATGACCCAGTACAGGGAGTATGAGCCCAACATTTTGTAAGCCTTTTATAGTAAGTTTACGGAAATGGCAACTCGCCTAACAGGCCATCCACTCAACGTACATGTACGCCTGTAGCCTACTAGTAGGCTACACATGCCTACATGTACTTGGGAATAGGAAGTTCACCCCCTTGTATGAGTATAGGGGAGACCGGGGCTAGTTGGACCCTTGGTGGGGGGGGGGGGGCAACTTTCCCCGGAATCGAACTAGCCCCGGTCTCCCCTGTGCCTGCAACTTTTGGCCTTCCGATGTTACATGCTACCGCAGGTACCCGTACCGCAGGTACCAGCACATAACATGATGTAACTGTAAGACCGAAAACAGTGGTAACTCCTTACAGTCCTTAGCACCTGTATAGCCCCCTACATCGTCACTCGCAAATTTAGACTCACCAATTGCTTCCAGCACTGCTACTCGAAGACTTGGGTCTCTCTTGATCAGTTCATACGCTGCACTAAGCCCTGACAACCCTGCCCCTACAACAACTACGTCCACGTCGACTGACGCCGGACTTGCCATCTTTTCATCCGCTCCAGCATTTGCGTTCATGTTAGCCAGCCAAATTCTCAATTGTTAATCGTAAAATATATCCACGCACTATTTATAGCCTTTATAGTGAGTTGGCCTTAACGTCAGCGTCACGTTTTACTATTGATCGCCAATAACAAGAAGAACTGAGAATCACGCCACTTACCGAGTAAACAATATAGGCCTACTAGTTATCACATGATGGTGTGTAACAGTCTCGAATCTAGGCTATCGTTTTTTTTTTCCTCGCAGGAGCCGAGGGAGGTAAACCCCCCCCCCCCCCCCCCCCCCCCACACACACACACACACAGGCGCGCGTGCAATTTTTTTTAAACCACGCCAGTTGTAAAACAGGGAAAAGAGGAACTATGGAGCCCTGCCTGCCTGCCATCTTCTTTCTAGCAAATGAAAGTAGTTCGATATTTAAACAAATTTAAAAAGTAACTAAAAATAAAATCACACCCGGTTCTTTATCCTTTCGTTATCCTTTCTCTTTGCAAAATTAAAGCTACCAAAAAAAAAAACTGACCAACTCCACATAAATGTTTATCGCAAAATTTGTATTATCACTTCGTCTGTTAAACAATGAAAGTTTCTTCAAAGTTCATTGTGGATCAGTGTGCATCGTGGATCTGTGTTAAGAAGCCTCGGTCACAACCGGCTGTACGGGCTCTTACGGGCTGTTTGCGTCCAAATATGCGCAGAATCTCACGTCCCACGCAAGGCCTTCTTACGCAATTTCGAGTTCGCAGACAGTCCGTAAGCACGTACGGAGAAAGTTTGGACATGTCCAAAAGATTCTACGAATAGCCTGCGAACAGCGAGGCCGCAAGCGTAACTTGCTCCCCTCGCTCGAAGTTAGCAAGGGCGACTCGCGTTGTGCAAGACGCACGCCGCAAGCAATTAGAGGAACAAGTGCCCTTTGCGTGTTGAGTAAGGCGCACGCCCTCACAACTAACGAACAAAGTCGAGAAAACACCGGGAATGCGTCGCACGTGCATCATCCACACGCCTAGTGTATAAAAGGCGTGCTCACAACGCACGCTCGTGTCGTTACAATGAACGTCGACTGTGTACCGTGTACAACAATTTTCAAAAATTTCAAATTTTTGCTCAATCAAGTTTCTAATATGCCTCCAAAAGGCAAGAGAAAGAAGCTTACATAGTAGAAAAAATGGAGGAGGAAGAAGAAGAGGAGAACAGGAAGCAAAACTGACGTACGCCGTCAGTACGTCACCACAAACGTGTGAGGCAAGTGTGAAGCAAAACTGACACAAAATGCCACTACTTTCGCCGTGCGTTGCATTCCATTTCCCTTCTAAATGGTGAGTGTGTGCCACGTACACTGGAAGCAAGAAAAACTCAAGAAATGAGTACAATTTCCACGACCATCGCTCCTTGCAATTAGCGTCCCTGCCTGAAAGGACATCTCATGTGGCAGGGCCGTAGCCTGAGCAAAGTGCCAGGGTGGGCAGTAAGCGGACACGAGGGGGCGAAGCCCCCGAGGGGGGAGAGTGTGGGAGGGGGTGTCCCCCTCCCACGATTGTTGAATGATTGTCTACTAGTAGTGGCCATGAGTGCATTTTCTCACAGAATTGATACCAACTTTGCAATTATTTTTTTACCTTTGCGATTTTGTTTTGCACCTCAAATCCCAGGGGGGCAGCTGCCCCCCCTGCCCCACCCCCACCCCCGGACTCGGGAGGGTACAGCTGTGTGGCCCTTGCAACTCGCAAGGCAGACTTTCCTCTACCTCTACGACCTCCACGGCCTCCGCAACACCCCAAAATCGCAGGGGACGTACGATCCTGAAATTCGTGCGTCCGGTTGTGACCGAGGCTTTACAGCGAACGCGGACAAGGTCGTCCAAAGATGGCCTGGGGGAGGTTAGTAAACTTCAGGTCGTTTCAACAGGATGCCAGGACACTGTCAATCATAATTAGGGGAGAGGCATGTGGGGGTTTCCTTCAAAAATTATCATAACATTGATTCTTTCCTTTGAATAAAATGTATGTTTTATTTTTCTTTTTAGACAAAAAAGATGACAGGTATGAAAACGTTGAATGCATTTCAAAGGTGTTAGGTTAAAATAAAATACAAAAATGAAATTTGGGTTTCATTCTCATACGACACCCCCGCGTTCAAACTGACAACATGGTGACGACAGCAACGCCCCAAGCGACAATCTACGATTGAAGTCTAAGAGCGGGCAATTGTGAACATGTGATCACTCAACAGCACACACAGCAGCGGAAAGGACGTAGGGCCTATTGCGTTGCACTCCAAAGGAGAACAAAGGACGCCAAGTAAGCGCGAATTTCTTCTAGGAACCACCTTCAAATCTCATGTGATCCTACGCAAATCCATCGAACTTGAGGATAGTTTCCTTACCAGCATAAAACAACGAATGTTTCGTCTTTCTCCCATCGTGTGCTTCTGTGAATTCGACGCTTCAATACATGCGGACTCGTCGCTCTGGGAAATGTACATGTGCAAATACATGTGCCCGGACATCGAGTAAGGGCCGCAGCAGAGATGTACTGGTGCCACCATTTCACACTCTTTTCATTTCTATCATATTCCTCTTACGCCCATGATCGAATTTTGAAGCTGGAACCAAAAGGCACATATGTCCTATTTATTTACGACATGCTCGTCATATAAAGCTGATGTACTCTAGTCTAAAAAAGGTTAAGGGGGGGAGTGAGTAGGAGAAGTGAAACAAATGTTATCTTGTTTTTATTTCTGTTTACAGGACATAGAAGATACAAGACAGCAGATGATGACTTCCTTTCAGATCTTGACCTTGAGTGCTAAAATGAACTACTAAAGGTTAGCATTAGTATTTTTTTTAAATATTTTTGGAGTTGGGTACGAGAAATGAAACAAATCTAATCTTGCTTTCATTTCTGTTTACAGGACATAGAAGATGATGACATACACAAGCTCTTCGATGACAAAGTGCTTCCTGTCGGACCTTGACTTTCACTGCTCGAATGAACAATTTAAGGTAAGTAAACTTCTTCTTTTTTTTTTTTTTTTTTTTTTGGGGGGGGGGGGGTTGAATAGGAGGAATGAAACAAACCTAATCTTGTTTTTATTTCTGTTTACAGGACATAGAAGATACAAGACAGCAGATGATGACTTCCTTTTGGACCTTGACCTTGACTGCTCGAATGAACAACTAACTTAGGTTAGTAAACTTTTTTTTGGAGTTGGGTATGAGAAATGAAACAAATCTTATCTTTTTTTCATTTCTGTTTACAGGACATAGAAGATGATGACATACACAAGCCCTTCACCACATTAATGAGCCAGCCTTCTACGACATAGTGCTTCCTTTCGGACCTTGACCTTCACTGCTCGAATGAACAACTAAAGGTTAGTAAACTTTTTTTGGAGTTGGGTAGGAGAAATGAAACACATCTAATCTAATTTTTATTTCTGTTTACAGGACATAGAAGATACAAGACATAGAAGATAATGACTTAATTCCTCTCAGAACTTGACCTTGACTGCTCAAATGAACAACTAAAGGTTAGTAAACTGTTTTTTGGAGTTGGGTAGGGGAATTGAAACAAATCGAATCTTGTTCTCATTTCTGTTTACAGGACATAGAAGATGATGACATACACAAGTCCTTCGCCACATTAATAAGCCAGCCTTCTCCTCTGACACAGTGCTTCCTTTTGGACCTTGACCTTCACTGCTTGAATGAACAATTTAAGGTTAGTAAACTTTTTGGAGGTTGGGTAGGAGAAATGAAACAAATCTAACCTTTTTTATTTCTGTTTACAGGACATAGAAGATACAAGACATAGAAGTTGATGACTTCCTTTAGGACCTTGACCTGCACTGCTCAAATTAACAATTAAAGGTTAGTAAACTTTTTTTTGGAGTTGGGTAGGAGAAATGAAACAAATCTAATCTTGTTTTCATTTCTGTTTACAGGACATAGAAGATGATGATATAGGCCTACACAAAGCCCTTTGTCACATTAATGAGCCAGCCATCTCCTCAAACACAGTGCTTCCTTTTGGACCTTGACTTTACTGCTCGAATGAACAATTTAAGGTTAGTTAACTTTTTTGGGGGTTGGGTAGGAGAAATGAAAGAAATCTAATCTTGTTTTTATTTCTGTTTACAGGACATAGAAGATACAAGACACAGAAGATGATGGCTTCCTTTTGGACCTTGACCTTGACTGCTCGAATGAACAATTAAAGGTTAGTAAACTTTTTTTTGGAGTTGGGTAGGAGAAATGAAACAAATCTAATCTTGTTTTCATTTCTGTTTACAGG